AAATAAAACAAATTCCGTTATAAATTCCGGGCAAGCCGCTAAAAAGACGAGTTATATCTCGACTCAATCATTTTGTGTTCATCGCATCGTATGAACATTTCATCTATACATAATATTTAAATAGCCATACCCGGAGCACAAACATAAATTTCTGAGAGAAAAATCATCCTCGATTTGAGCATCTGCAAATTTAAAGCCATTACACTAATAAATAATCTGCCACAAATTTAGCGCATTGCCATCGATTTAATACAGCTTCAGCTTCAGCTTCATCTGCAAGAGCCATGGAGCCACAGAGTATTCCGCTGAAGACACGCCCACAGATAAATCCGAATCCAAATCGCATAGTCCCCCGTTACACATGCTGCATATGAATTCAGAGGGATGAGCAGGGGTTGTCAGCCCTAAAGGAGGTTTATTTCGATTCTAAGTGCAAAAGGGAGCTAGGAAAAAATTCATATGTCTGCTTGTGTGGCTGCTTTCAATTGCTTTCGGTTTTCGGCGGCGGAAAGGGGGAGCTAAGCCAGCGGGGCAGCATTTGGCGATCATCATCGATGGCTGCTTTCAATATCTAATAATATTGCTCATACGCCACGTTGCCTGATTCCAGCTAGCAGCTTTCACAGTCGAAGCTGCTGAAGCTGTTGCTGGTTCACTTACGTCGAGTGCGTGTTGGCGCAATAATCAACAGTTGTATTATGAATGCACAATCATAGAAAAGACAGTCACAAACAAAATATTAGTAGACACTTTTTTGGACATTTCTAAAACATTTATTTAGGATTGCAGGGATACAAACTTTATTTTAAGAACTTTCGTTACAGCTAACAAGTTTGTGTAGGAAAAATAATATTTGTAACAATGCTGCCAGATGAAAAATCAACTTTCCCCTAAATAAGGTCGCAGAACCCCGGTTTCTCCTAAACAATCCAGTTTTCCCTCTAAATTCATCACATGTAAAAACTGAAAAAAATTGTATTTCTTCCTTGAGAAATATATTAAGACAAAAAACACTTACAACAAATTAAAGTTTGATGTTTTGAAGTTTTATTTACAAATTGAAGTCTTATTTACAAATTATGTAATTTCTGTATTGTGTCATTTTTTGTCAAATGAAGAACACAATGTTAAAAATAAGATATTACAATTTTGCCCGTAACTGTTGTGCTCATAATGCGCATTTTAGCCCCTTTGAAACAAAAACTCAGTACTAATACTAACACACACATGACACTCCATATAAGTGATACGATAAACTCGGGATTTTTTTTGCATTATGTGCAGATTTTGCTGATTTTCCCTTTGCCGCACATCCGTGGCCCCTCCCAAAATTTCGACGCTCTAGATGAAAACTTTTTTAATAATAAATAAAAGTGCTTAACTTAATTCGTGCTCTTTTCTTTTCCACCAGCTTATGTGCACTGTGGCTTTTCCGCTTGTTTTCCTCTTTTTATTTGTTTTTTTTGATTTGACACGCCCCGCATTCACCGCCCAGCACACAATGTGTGGAAATAATTTTTCGATTATTGTCAAGTTTTGCTTTATTTTCCCGCCCCTCATAGCTTGTGTTTTCTTCTATTTTCGTATGGCATTTGTGGCTGTTTACCTCGCCAACGGCCAAAATGCAATTTATGTGTTGAGAGCGAGTTTCATTTTATTTTCGTTTGATTTTTGCTTGTTTGTGTTTCTTCTTTTATTTTTCCTTTATATTTGCGGTTTGCTTTTATTTTGGATACTCGTGTGAGGTTATTGGCAGTTGTCATTTGTGTGTGATTTACGTTTATCGGTGTGATTCATGCATGTAATTTTCTTATTGCAACTGGCAAACGGAAAGCTAGTCTAGGGATGGGATTTTTGTATTGGGGTTGTGTTAGATGTTTTAAGGTAAACGTAAAGATATTTGTAAAATATAACGTTTTTGACTTACAATATAAATTCAGATCTTTGTTTAAATGTTATTGAGGTATCTCGAGGATTTCTAATAAATTGATCCCCGCAGGAGTTATCCCAATTTAGCAAACGTTTAAAGAAATAAAATTAATTTGAAACTTTCATTAATACCAAAATTTATCTTAAAGCAATTAAAAATATTTTTAAAAAGAATTTGATTTTACCTATACAGAAAAAAAAATAAAAAAATGTTTTTTCATAATATTTAACCAACTATCAAAGCCAAAACACAAAATCTATAGCAGTACTATATTTTTGTTTCGCCATTCCAAAAAAAACTTCACAACTTAAGACATAAATAACAATGCATTTTAAAAGCAATCAATCAAACAAAATATTTTTATAAATTTAAATTTGTATGCTTCCGCTGGGCTTTAGAAATATTCTAAACCTTAGACATTTTCCTTCCATTTACATTTTTCCCATCATTCTTAGGTTTTAACAACACGCAAACCGGCAAACTTGCAAAAAATGTGGGTTCAATTGCAAAATCCATTATTACTCAGCCAAGCAAAAGGAAAATGGAAAAATACATGTTTGCGTATCATAAAAATAGCTAGAATGTTTCCGTTTTCGTCACTGTATAGCAATGAACTTGTTCTGGCTGTGTCTAGGCATTGACAAAATATTTTCCAAAAAGCAATTAAAATTTTAATAAAATAAACTAAGCAAGGAACCAGAATGACAAGAATGGGTGGTGAAGATGGTGGTGTGGTAGGGGACTTCGATACAGTATATGACATTAAAAATCCATACAAAAGATAAACACATTTTTTAGCTAGCTCAGGGCAGCACATATGTACATGAAGCTGAGAAATATCGAAAAGGAGAATGGAGAAAAGATTAAATTCACTTAAGTGCAAAGTATGCAAATGACAGAGTGCGGAAAGAGAGAGAAAGAGGGAGAGAGAGAGAGATAGATACAGAGGGGCAGGCAAGCTGAACACTCGCAACCACATTGCCTGCATTTGAAGCTAGAAATAATGTAAATTCAAATTGAAATGCATGTGTGACATTTGCCATGCATGCGCCCACTGAAAGAGATGGGTAGAGACTGGAACGACAGAGATGGGTAGAACAAAAGGACAACCATCCAGCAGATACAGGGATACAAAGGCTTGTGGCAGCCGAGATACAAAGAAGTCCTGCTCGAGCCCTGACAAAATTGAATGCAATTTGACAAAAATCATAGTCTATAATTTCGGGCCACAGGCTTAGCTGACTTCTTACCAACTGGACCTCTATCTGGCTGCCTCCTTTCCCCCTGGGTCTCACACATCCTACTATTACGAGTTAATAATTGAACATTTTCGGTTTTAGGCAGAGCTAAATTGCTATCATTTTTTGTTGCCCTTTTTGATTGGGGTTGTGGCTTCTTTTAGGTGAGCATTGAACAGTACGTTTTATAATTGCAATGTAGTTTTACTTAATTACCATTTTTCATATTAAATAAATTAAAAATTAAAGCTATCAAATAATTTTTGTTGACTAATAGTTTGTTTTAAAAACCAAAATTTATACCAGTACGTACCGCAATTAGCTAATTTAAATTAGTATAGCTTTCAGCACTTGTTCATTTATGACATAATTTGTTTACTATAAAAAAAACTAATAATGCTGCAAAAAATTATTTTTATTGTCTGCATTGGTCCGATGCACGCAATATATTAGGAGATTCATCAAAAACACGCAAGTTTTTGAATCTAGGTATCACATTAGTTGCATGTGGCTGTTTTATTTATTTATATTAAATTATAAAATCATGGTTAGTCTTGTTAGTCAATTGGCCACTGCTATTATTATTTTGTACTTAGCAGTGTTTTTCTGGGATATTTTAGAATATGTAATTTAATTTTAAATTTAAATCCGACTTTGTACCCAGTGATTGAACTTTATTTGCTTCCGCTCGATTGTTCTGATCCGTTTAGAAATTTTGGGGTCTTTGGTTTGGGCTTGTTCTATTGTCTGCTACTCTATAATGCTGGAACGCACTGTATTGCCACATGCACCACATTCATGACCCGCTCATTCTGTCGGAGGCTGTGCAAATATTGTCGCAAAAAGCAGTGGCAGTTCGCAAGAGCGAGACAAATACAGATATATATATATAGACATTTTTGTATTTGCTCGTTGAACTTGTGCACTACGGCTCCCATATCTCTCCCTATCTCTTTCGCTTTCCCCAAATCCGTCCCTTTTGCTTCGCAGCCAACTCTTTTCCTGGGTGCTCTCTGTCTCTCTCTCTGAGGATTTTGTGAATGACTTTTTGGCACTAATTAAAAGTAGCAAATAATTTTCTATGCCAACTCACATACGCCCGCATACACGCACGCACAAGCAGGACGAGTGTTGGATAGAGAGGGAAAATGCAAATATGGCACGGCCTCTGCTCGGAAAACCCCCTTGCCCGCCCCTCTGACAATGACAATGCATGTGACAGTTTCGGTTGGCACCGTTGATAAGCGTCGCTTATTGTCATTCTGCCCCGCTCTGCATCTGCACCACTCCAAAAATCAGACCACCCATCACCCACTCGCCTAGTCGACACCCAATGCCAGGCACCCAGTTGACAAAAAGTTGGCCAGCTTAAGTCGGAAAATTTATTATTATTTTTCTGCATTGCAGGCTGTGTGCAATTTTAAATGGATTTTAATTAGTTTTGAATTATTTCGGCTTTCGGTTTAGTTTTTCGGCATTTCATGTGCCATTTTGGCATTAAACTTTGGCCCATTATAGTATCCTGTGGTTTATGTAAAGTTGAGTTATTTTTGGAATAATTGTTTAAGGGGATATTCATCTTGCAGTTGCCAAAAATTAAGTGAATTTATGGTCTGCCGGTATGAGCCGAATGTGTGTCAGAAATATTTGTTTACCATAGTAGTGAAAAAACGAAATAGAGCAATTATTTTGTAAGACTGACAGGGGATTATCTATCCTTATCAAAATCTTAAAAACATTGCTATAAATATAGTTAAAACCTTTATAATTGCCTAAAATATATACAACCTTCTATTATATAAAATAGCACAATAACACAATGAAGTGGAAAATAATTTTTTAAATGCTTTTTAATAATGTTCCTAATATGAAACAACCAATTAATTTAGTTAAATGAATATCGAGTGAAAAACTCGTTTCCTGGATGACATTATCTATGGCTGGAAACTATTTTTTGTTACCACCTTTGGCAGTCAGTTCCTTCATAAGATTTAAGGCACTGCCGGCTTGGAACCACTTGATTTGCTGATCGTTCAGAGTGTGGTTCAACTTGATTTTGTCGGAGCCACCGTTGTTCTTGATCTCGGCATCCACCGGTTTTCCAGGTGCCAAATCCTTGAGGTTGAGCAGTGAAACCTTGCTGGTTGGCTGGATTTTGTCGTAGTCAGCGGCGTTGGCGAATGTCAGTGCCAGCATGCCCTGTTTCTTCAGATTGGTCTCGTGGATCCGGGCGAAGGACTTGACGATAATGGCCACTCCACCCAAATGACGGGGCTCCAGTGCAGCGTGCTCCCTGGAAGATCCCTCGCCGTAGTTCTCCTCACCCACGGCACACCACCTCATCTTGTTGGCCTTATAGTCCCGAGCCACGGCTGGAACGGCATCAAATTGGCCGGTCTTTTGGTTCTTCACCTTGTTCATCTCATTATTCTCGGCATTGGTGGCCCCAATGAACATGTTATTGGATATGTTGTCCAAATGACCGCGATACTTTAGCCAAGGTCCAGCGGCACTTATGTGATCAGTAGTGCATTTGCCCTTGATTTTGATCAGAACCACCAAATCAATGTAGTCCTTGCCGTCCCATTTCTCAAAGGGCTGCAGGATTTGCAGCCGTTCCGACTTGGGATCCACATTTACCTTGACATCATCGCCCTTCTCCGGTGGAGCCTGGTATGTATCCTCCCCGGGATCGAAGCCCTTGGCAGGCAGTTCTTCGCCATGTGGTTCCTTTAGCTTGAACATTTTGCCATCCGCTCCCTGGAGTTCGTCGGCCAAGGGATTGAAGTCCAAACGTCCGGCAATGGCCAAGGCAGTAGCCATTTCCGGACTGGTAACAAAACAATGCGTGGCCGGATTGGCATCGTTTCTTCCGGTGAAGTTACGGTTGTACGATGTGACAATTGTGTTCTTTTCGCCCATTTTCACATCCTTGCGATCCCACTGTCCAATGCAAGGACCACAGGCATTGGCCAGCACGGTGCCACCGAACTTTTCGAGGACATCGATGATGCCATCCCTGGCTATGGTGGCTCGAACTTGCTCCGATCCAGGCGTGACATTAAAGGGAACACAGGACTTCAGGCCATGGCTCAGTGCGTCATTGGCAATGCTGGCACAGCGGCCCATATCCTCATATGAGGAATTCGTGCAGGATCCAATCAGACTGACTTTAATGTCCATCGGATAGCCGTTCTTCTCGGAGTTGGCCCCCAGTTTGCTAATGGGATGCGCCAAATCGGGCGTAAATGGGCCATTCACCAATGGCTCCAGCTTGTCCAAATTGATTTCGATGACCTGATCGTACTTGCAGCCCTTGTCCGCTGTCAGCATATCCTTGTATTTCATGGCCTCCGCAGCGATGGCACCTCTGCCCGTGGCTTTCAAATAGGTCACCATGCGATCGTTGAACGGGAAAATCGAAGTTGTGGCTCCGATCTCAGCTCCCATGTTGGTAATGGTGGCCATTCCCGTGCAGGATATGGACTCGACGCCAGGTCCATGGTACTCCACAATCGCTCCTGTGCCGCCTTTGACGGTCAGGATCTCGGCCACCTTTAGAATCACATCTTTGGGCGAGGTCCAGCCACTTATTTTGCCCGTTAGATGGCAACCGATCACAGTCGGGCACTTTAGCTCCCAGGGAATATTCGCCATCACATCGACGGCATCGGCACCGCCGACACCCACGCACAAACATCCCAGGCCACCGCCATTCGGAGTGTGGGAATCGGTGCCGATCATCAGCAGACCCGGAAAGGCGTAGTTCTCCAAAATGATTTGATGGATTATTCCGCTGCCAGGCTTCCAGAAACCCAAGTAATATTTGGCGCACGCGGAAGAAAGAAAGTCAAAGACCTCCTTGTTGAGATCCTTAGCTCTGGCCAGGTCCTTCTTGCCACTTATTTGGGCCTCAATCAAGTGATCACAGTGAACTGTGGAGGGAACCGCCACCTTCTTCAAGCCCGACGAGATGAACTGCATTAGGGTCATCTGGGCCGTGGCGTCTTGCAGGGCCACACGATCCGGACGAAGTCGCAAATAGGTCTTGCCCCGTTCAATTTCCTGCTTATCCGGTTCATCCAAATGGGAATATAACACCTTTTCCGACAGCGTCAGAGGTCCAGTTAGCCGAGTTTTCACGCAATTCAGTTTCTCCTTCATTTTTTCATAGGGCAGAGGAATACCGCAGTCAAAATTCGACATGGACACTTTTTTGCACCGTGGAAATCGGGCCACATGAATCTTACGCACCATGGAACCCGCCAAACATATATACCTCTGTGTTCGCTGAGCCATCTCAATGTTTCTTGGTAATTGAACAAATTTGGTTAATAGTTTGTGTCGCTAAAATCGGAGAGAATGAAAGCTGAGTGTCAGCTACCGGCTGCTTTGAATGGAAGGTGTCACATTGAACGCAGCCTGCCTTGTTTGCTCTACACAAATGGAATATACACAAAAACATTTTTTAATAATAAAATTGATGAGTTCATTTAACAGAAAATAGTTCTTACTCGTGCATCAATAACCAAGTGTGTATTTGCACACTGCCATTTTTGTCACACAATTCAACAATTTTTATTGACGTTGTAAATTAATTAAATTTGTAATTTAACATATTTTTCGATTCACGAAGCCTGTGGTTAAGCTTACTTTTTTTGATTCCGATTATATTTCCATCTTTGATACCCTTATTTAACTTCTTTAATATGGAGTTGGATAATTGCTTGTTTCCATTCTTTTTAATTACTGCAAACAAGGAATTTAAGATTTAATTACTTCGTTTAACAAAATGCAATCCGTTTAATCTACTTATTTTACAATTCTAATCGTAACCATTAATTAAATTAACTCCTCACCTTTGGCAGCATCCTACTCGTATTTCTTGGGTTGGCTTATTGTTCTGTGCACATTTGATGCGAACCAACAGTTGCAGATACAAAGTTGGGATCCAAAGAGTGAGGTGAGTGGGCACGTCATCGGAATTGATGTTGCAAGTGAATCACGGCATTGCAACGGCGGAAGGAGGATGGAGGATGGACCCATCGATGGCATAGGCCAAGTGACAGACAACTAGAGACGACGAGGGCCAGCAAACTGGACGGCTGGCAAACAGAAGGATAAGGGTTGCCAGGATGCCAGGATGCGAGCTGGCTACCAAAGTGTCAACTGCAAGAGAGTGTGACGGTGAGCTCTGCATCCTCCTGTGATTGTGTTTGGTTTGCTGGCATCGTGTCATAATGGGCGATGTGGGATGTGGGACAGCGGACTGAGGACTGAGAACTGAGGACACTGGTAACTGGCAACTGCACTCTGGACAGGGAACATTGGTAGTTGGCCGCACCACATTCAATTGAAATCGACGTGCCTGTTGGCCACAATGCCATTGACGATCCTGCTGCAGCTCAGGCTGCTTCCTCGCTGCTGACGGCTTCTGGCCATGGTCGATGGTCGATGGTCGATGGTCGATGGTCGATGGTAATGGTGATGGTGATGGTGATGTCCTCCCTTTGACGCCCCATAAGTAGGCTGCGGGGAGGCGCAACTATGCCAAAAATTGATTGGCAACTACTTGGCACACACTCTCGACCGCAAAACTTTTTCTTCTCTGCCACTTGCGCTTTACACTTAAAAATATGGATTTCTGAATTTAAATCTTTTAGAGTCATAATGAAATTTAATGATTTATCTAGTTTTAAAAACAATAAATATTATCGGATGCTTGGAAAGGCAATATATATAAAAATACTTTCATGTTGTATTGTTTTTTTTTTGTTGTATTTCTAAAGTGAATTTACTAAATCATTTTTTTATTGATTGTTTCTTAAAATTATTTCTGTCTGTTTATCTATCTACATTGTTTTTTCAAAGTGCAGGCACTTTTTATACATTGTGAGTCGAGCAAACGTTGATTATTAATCTGTATAATTGATGGATTGGATTGTTCCACTTTCAGCACCATCGGATTGCAAATTTGAAACGATCCATCCATCCAATTCAGCATTCTCTTTCTCTCTGGTGGAGCGTGTGGGGTCAATTTGATTTGCGGACTGAAAATGTCAAGGTTGTGCAAATTGCATCCCAAACACATGGTCTTTCAGTTTTGTGCGCTGTCATTTGCCATCGCATATTAGATTCGCAACCTCGTGCCACCGTCGCTCACTGGAGCTTCTCTCTCAGAAAGGAAAAATGCAATTAGCTTAAATATATTTGCGTTTCCTCACTGGCCTTGGCCGGAAAAGAGTCCGGGTCAATCGGTTTGCACCGACGATTCCCATACGCATTCGCTTAAATTATTTCCTTTGAAACTTTTTCCATAAATAATGAAAACTTATTGCCAGTGATTGGAAAAAGATGCTGCGGCACCTTAGAGTAGCTATTACTTGTAAGGAAGCAAGGAGAATCCTATCAATTTATAGATTTATCTACTCTTTTTGTGGGTACTTAGTTTTGTATGTAGCAAAATTAAAAGCTTTATTTTTTTGCTTTAAAACTATCAAATTGACAATTGTTTTTATCTTAGTGTGTAAGGATAAAATCCAACCCATAAAAAAGTTCTTAGATAAAAGAATTCAGAATACTGAATTAAAATCGACCGAATAATAAAACAGAGTAATATCATTGAAAAAATTCCAATACAACCGGTATGCTTAAAAGTTTTAGCTGGTGCTGCCTTTTTTTACTTTAGTGACTTGATGTCTGATTGGGCGAATGCCCGAAAATTGCCGGCAAAATTTATGTACTGCCCGGGGAAAGAGAAAAAATGTGGGCGAACGAAAGAACATTGACCATATGTAGAAGGTGATCTGGGGATTCGGGAAAGTGGTGGGTGGGAGTAGCAGTAGGTGTGGCTACTGTGGTGTCGGTGGCCAAAGTTGCAACAAAACTGAAACTTTGGACGGCAAAATTTTTTAATCCTCGCTTCTTTCTCCTCTTAATATTCCCGTACTTTTTTCAGATTTTTTGTTCGAATCTTTTGGCCGGAATGGGGACTGGCTATGGGGCTACCTACCATCCGCTAGCGAACAGAACGTTGCTTGTTTTTGCAGGGAGCTGCGCTTCGGCACAGCTTGCGGTAAAACTTTTCAATAATATTCCCAAAAGTCCAGTCCAGACGTCGTTGGGCAGGAAGGCGAGAGACACCGGAGTGCCAATGGCAGTGGCAGTGGCAGCGGAAGTGCCGCCGTAGTTTGGCCATCTAGCCAGGAATAGCAGAGTTTTTGGCGCACAGGCAGCAATATTGCAATAATACCCGAAAAAATGGCGCACATTTGGCAGCCGGTTCTCAAAAATGGTTCCACTTGGTTAGCTTTAATTCGACATTTATTAATATTTTTCAAATGGTCCTGATTGGTCGACAAAGTGTGTGCAATAAATTGCATTCGCTGCATTGCAGTAATAATATTTCGGAATATTTTAATGCGATTTTAATTTATTGACTCAGATGTTTTATTCTCTCTATAAAAGTCAATGGATTCCGCAATTAAAACAATTAATAAATCTAAATTGATTTCGATTTGAAATGACACATATTATAAATTATTATACAATTTCTAAAAAGTCAATGTTTCCACTGTGAAAACATTTTATATTAAACGATTCATTTGATTGCTGTAGATTTATAAATTTATTTGAAAAAGTCTATTTGATGAATAAGTATGGTTGATTTGTTTTTATAAATTAAATTGTGAAACATTTTTGTTAGATTATCTGTTTTTTTTTGCGTTTAGGCTTAACCTTTGTAAAAAATCGCTTTCTTACAATATTAACTTTTTCACAGCCTTGGAAAGAAAATTTGCCGTAGATTAACATCGGCAAATATGCTTTACCTTTGAATATCCTTTAAGACCGAAATTCAGAAATTGACCAATATAAAATCTGCCATTTTAATCGAATGCGTTTCCGGGAATTGCCAGCCATTCGAGCCTGGCTTTGTTTTAGCGCACCAAGCAGACAAATTCAGCATTTCCTGCACACGTGGCTTTGCCGATTTCCTTTTGTGCAAACATATTTTACCGCAATTGCGGCACATACTAGTGCACCGAGTTTCAGAACGCCATTGAAGCATAAGTAACGGCGCTCCAGTCCCCAAACCCGATCCGGCCTGGTTCGTTTGTCCCCAGGAGCCAAGACCGGGACGCAGGACTCAGGACCTAGTGACCAGGGCCCAATCCCCTGGCCACTTCCATGTCCCCTGACCGTGTCCCATTCATATATATAAATATGGATTTTTGCCGTGCGTCTAAGCTATAAGTTGAGCGCTTTTCCGCTCGCCCCGCACCGTTTATAAACCCTCTTGACTATCCATTCATAAACCCAATTCAGGCGCAAGCCGAGCTCAGCTAATTTTTTCTCTTTTTTTTTGCACTGCGGAAAAGGGGACTTTGAAAATATTTATACTTCGTTTCGTCGATCCCTTTAATTAAACAAAAGAATATTTTAGACCTTTGTTCCATGCATACATTTTTTAAGATATAATTATATTTTCTTTAAATTTGTATTGGTTTAAACGTAGACTTTCATATTTGCAAATATCTCAAGTTTTTCTGTATTTAACTTAATTAATTCAATTCATATAAGCTAGTATACAAAATTAAAAAATGTTTTAACCATCTTAAAGTTAAGTAAGAATTAGGAAACGTTTCTGTTTGCAGTGTAGTTGAGCTCTTTTGTTTTTCATAAACTGCACGCTATTTGCCGTGCATTGCGCGCCACCACCGCCTTCATCGCTCAATGATGCCGCTTCCTTTGGGAGCCAGCCCGGTGCACCTGGTTCACCTGGTTTAACTCCAGGTGCAACAACACCCGATTCCACCACCCGTCCCATTATCCCAGCTCAGTTACTGCGTCGCTTTTGTCTGCATTGTTTCCGTCAATAGACGCATTTGTGCGGGTCAGTTTGGTAAAAAGAAAGCTACGTCCAAACCCAACCCAAAAATCCTTTCACGAAACCTGCTCTGTACTCTCCTTTTTACCCAGCGCTCGTTGGCCGAACATAATTAGATTTAATTTGCAGTAAAGTACGATCTGAGTTTAGAGCCAACTTCTCCTATGCATACAATTTTAATGCATAAATTATGCTTAACAACGAAGCAATATAGTGGCATAGTCCTACAGCTTAATCCTCTGGTGGGTGTGCGTGTGTGAATAAAGTTGGCTCTTTAATATTGGTCAATGAGTTGTAGTTCATTATGGATTCAGCTTTGGATTTGGATAATAAATGTATTTTGCATTTAATAGAGTAGAAAAGAATATTCAATTCAAATTAAGCAACAATTTGATTAAGACTGATATATGATTTTTAAAAAAATATTAAAAGCTTAAGGCTTATGTCTTGTGTTTTACATAAAAAACTTTTGTAGTTTTGTACTGAAATTTATAATACAAATTCATTTTTTCCCGGATAAAAATGTTAAGTGTTGTTGATGCTCGATTCCAGTTTCATAAATCAGTAAAAATCAACCCAATTACTTAAGCCTCAGTAAATCATAATGAAAACCATAAAGAAACCCAATTCGTACACCTCTCAACGATCCACTTAAACAACCTTTTTAGCAACTTTAAAACATAGAGCGAGAATTTATGGGCCATCTATTTTCCATCATAATGCCGTCCATTGCGGCTAAGCGATAAACCCTCTCGGCTTCCTCGGCTCCTTTATTAATATGTACACAATAATTATTCCCCGGATGGATTACAATGTGAACTTGGCCAGGAGAAGCAGCTGTAAACGCAAAGCAAACGGAACACGAAAAAATTGTTCAACTGTGTGCCGTAATGTTGTTGAACTCCCCGAGAGGTTGGAAATAGGAGGTTGGAAGTTGGAGGTCGGAGGTCGTCCAGCAGGGCAGTCAAGCGCAGCGAAATGGACACGAAACAATACCTGGCTACTGAACATCTGACCCACTGGTTGGCGGCGAACCAGCACAGTGGTTTTCTGAGCTTCTTGAACCCATTTTCCTTATGTTGAGAGCAGGATTCATGCACTCTTTGCTTACTTGTGGGAGTCCGGTTCTCCGGCCAAACACACGCACTTAATTAGGGAAAACTATTTCTTTTGCTTTATTTCCTGAAATTTCTTTCACGCCCCACACTTTTTCAATTTCCTGTCACTGGCTTCAAAAATAGTATAACATACTTTTGGATATCCTTGTTGGGAACGGGGACAATGCTTTGGGAGATGGAGATAATGGGTACATGATACGCAGGCAAGAAACCGTGAGAATTTTGTTTTTAGGAGTTTTAAACATGCAAGCTTGTATAGAAAATATATATGAAACAGGAGTTTTAAAAAACTTTACCCGTATTGTAATTTGAAAGATATACAAGTATGTTATTAAATTTATTATTGTAATTATAAAAGCTTTGTAATGCCCTAGTCACAAGCAAATTTCAGTTCTGAAATATAAAAAATCTCTTTTAACCTTTGCTATGTACGCTTGTACATATGGAAATAATTTGCTTACATACTTCAAAGCTATTTATTTTGGAACATATTTATGTAGAGAAAATCCAATGAAATAAAGCGCACTCTTCTTATATATTTATTTTAAGTAGAGTACGAAAGCTTCGAAACCAAGTCTCATACCATCTTCATTTGCTTTTCTGCTACAGATATTTTCTTAGTGCCAACCGGAAATTGTGCTTATGCAATTGCACAAGTTCTCGTCGAAATCCGGACGAGGTCAGTACGTCGAAAAGCAAGAAAAAAAAACTATCAAAAAGTTGTCGAATAGGGAATAACCCCAAAGAAAACGAGGATTTCAACTTTACTCTGGAGCTGAGCTCTAGACAATGCAGTGTAATTTGCTGAAATGTTAAACAAAACGTAATAACTGGGAGTTGACAAAGTCGATGTCACACAGAGAAAAATATTTATATTAAATAATTTTAAAATCTGAACATCTCTAAAAGAACATAAATTTAACTATTAGAAATAATTATAGTTCCGAATTTATACAAAATTTTTATACAAAAGTCAAGTAATTGTCTTACCATAAATTTCTTCATGAAAAAACGTTCTAAAAATTCCCTTAATACGAAGGAACACCTCTCCTTCTAGAGTAACTAAGGACTTATTTTTTTCAGTGAGTCCATGCGTTTCAGATATTTCCGATCTCTTGTTTTTTTGCCTTGCTACTGGTCCTTTTCAACAGCAATAAAAGTCGATTGTCAACGTTGACTGGCATTCTTCGAGCGAGTGAGTGTGTTGCGAATTTCCAACGTTGCATCTTGCTAAGATTCAACTTGGTCCTGGCCGAGTGATTTTCAGGTATGCAGGAGCGGCATAGCCGTTGTCCTTGTACCAGACTTCAGTTCTGCCCGTCACTTAACAAACTCTAATGTCCCCAGTCCGAAAGAGAATGGAAGATAGAAGGGATAGGGCCGTGTTGTGTAGAAGTCGGAGGAACGGCTGAGTTGCGGAAACTATGCAGAAATCAAAATGCTTCATAAAACGGAAATGAAAACAAATGAAAAATGATTTTTACTTATGGGCAAATTGTTCCACAGCTCTTCCAATCTCAATTCCTGGCCAGCCATTGTTGCATGTGCACCAAGTGCTTGTTGCAAATAAATTGCATTTGCACTTTAAGCAACGTCAATGCGGCAGCTGTTGCTATTCGTTCTTCAGCCCTACGGATAATTCCTTTCATCCTTGCTAGTCAGACATGTGTGGGATGTTTGAAGGTGGGGAAAAATACACGACAAGGTAAGCCTGATTAATGTTTTTCAGACTTTTCCACTGACGAGACGAGTCGAATAATAAGGTTGTGAGCATTAAGTGCACAAAAGAGATAAAGCTCAGTTGTTTCCGGCACTTTCCCACCACTTCAGATTATATTGTTTAGTGTGACAGCTAAGGTACAAATTTATCGCTTTTCGAGATTTAAAAACATCAATTAATGGAGGTATTATTGCCTCACCAGTAACCCAAACTCATTATTTTTTTAAAGAATAATTTTACAAAATATAATATAATAATTTTTTTACTTTTACCTACTTAAAACTATACTTTGAGGAAAATTCAATAAAAGTAAGTATTAATCTAATAACTATTTCTATTTCAATGTTATCGTATTGTTATTGTGAGCTAAAGCAAATGACAGGAGTTTCTGTGATACATTAAAAGTTTTTTTTTGAATTTACGTAAGAGAATTAAATTTAAAATTTTGTCAAAAATATTCTTGACGTACTCTAAAATGATATACATTTTGTCCCTCATTCTGTTGTCTGATTGCCTTATGTTTTGTTGTTTGCATTACACTTGACCATTAGGAAGGTCCCACTTCCCTGGAATATTCATTGAAACGTGAAGAGCCCTGTTGACCTTTTCTTAACCCTGGATCAGTTGTTGACTTACAACGAACTTGAGCCGACTCCTTTCATTCCAAGATGCTGATGAACCAATACAAAGGGCTACAGAAACCACAAGATAGCCCTCAGTTGAACACTTGTAGAGCTATCGCCTTACACATGCCTTTTATTAAAAAATTAAAATGGCTAACCAAAGAAGAGAAAAAGGGTGGGTATTCCACTTTCTCCAGTCCTGTTTGGTATCATTTTTTGTAGCTAAAATAATCAGGCAACTTAATTGAATCAAGTTGCATGGTGATTCGGGAGCGACCATAGAAAAAACGCCCCAAAATAAACGGAAAAAGGAAAGGCCATAGCAAAGAGGGGCAAAAGAGCTCAGAGACCCTAAAAAATATATATATATATATATATAAAGAAAGATGTTGGTGGGGTGGATGAAAGGAGTAAACAAGGTTTAAGGAGTGAAAATGTGCGCAGGAAAGCAAATAAATTGAAGTGAAAACAAATAGCCCGGGATGTGGTGGGTTAAAAAGGGGTGCCAATGTGGGGTTTTGGAAGGGACCGGCGGACATTCCATCAGAGGCCCACGATAACAACTCCACCTTATTTATAAATTAACAGTAACAATTTTTCCCGCCGGACATACACTTAAAAATTTTCGTGCATAAAAGTTTAATATTTTGCCCACTCAGTTTTCCTTTTTTCCTCTTCTATTCTGCTGTTTATATTTTGCTTATTTCCATTCTTGTTGTTCTTTGTCTGGCTGTGTATAGTGTGTGTGAGGGTGCCTTGTTCCGGGAAAAAAGGAAGCTCCGGACAAGGTCCTTTGCCGTCGCTTAAGCAAATAATTTCTTTTCTTAGGCACCGCTATGGCTTTTATGCTTCGCCGAGTTCCGCCTCCACCGGCAAATTCCCAACTGGCCAGCTGCATTGGTCCTCGTTTTGAGCCTTGTTCTCGTCCTTCGGCGCTGCTCCCTGTTGTGCGTTTTGTTTTTAGTTGCCTTCCCGCTTGTTTGGCCTGCACTTCTCACGCACATTCTTTGGGGAATTTGCCTAGCACTCAGTCCTCTAGATTCTGATCCACAGGAAGATCTTTAAAAGCCTGTTGGCAGCTTGCCCGCTTTAAGTGGTTTGCACAAGCTAAGGTATAAATATCGGAACAGGACCCAAAGCGGTGGAACACAATTTGTATTGGATACGTTTCATGAGTCCCAAGGAAGGCAATTGGATTTTTTTAAATCAAGATTTTTAGTTTTATTATAAACTCCTTTAATGGTTTTTAGCTTAACCTGAAGTGTATGTTTACATTATTATATATCTCCTCTTCCAAGTCTTTATAAATATTTGAAGTTAACGATAATGTGCAAGCTACATATGAAGTCTTACCAGCAGGTAAGTACCTTGAAAAATAAAATTAAAAACAAACCAAAATAACTTTTTTTACTATCATTGTTTTGACTGTTTAAACTGTATTTTACCAAAATTTAATAATATTTAAAACTCGTGTTTGTTCAGTAAGTATGAATGACAATAAAACTAAATATGTGTAGATATTTTGTATGTGATGAATTGAATGATAAATGAATTGTTTTTCGTACCGATAGGTGCCGAAATCAATACTGGATTTTAAAATAATAAACCTGTACCAACGCGCTGGTTCCATCAAGTACCAGGAGCTCCGTCTTAAAATCTCGCTCAATCACATTTGGTAATGTTCAAACCAAATATGAAATAGTTTGCTGTTCCTCTTAGAAAGTGCTATTTCATCATCAAACCTAGAGACCATAGAAAGATAATACTTATGGGGCGCTTCCCAGAAGATTACAAAACCGAACCCTAATTCTAATCTTGTTCACTTAAAAGTATAGGTTGCCCCAGAGGGTAACAATGAAAACGATGAAAATTCAAAAGTTAATGCCCTTTATCAGCATGATTAAGCGATACTTGTTGTAAAGCTCGTTCGCTATCAGCAAAAGCTCAGCATATATATAAGGAATAGCTTTGGCGATCTAGCCAAATAGTCTGTGCTTAAGACTCGTTCAGTAAACATGAGATTATTGGCTGTGTTCGCGTTTGTGTTTTGCGCTTTTAGCGCTAAACCGCTCGAAACGGAAACTGCCAAGATTTTGGCTACCCTGCCATTTCCGGGTCGTTCGCAGTACATATTTGTGGAGAGCTACTTGAAGGCCCTGGCCGCAAAGGGTCACCAGGTGACAGTGATTAACGCATTCAAAAATAAGGCAACGCCCAACATGCGCTTTATCGAGGCATTTGGAGCCCATGAACTCTCTGATGGTGTGTAATTAGCTTACTGTATTAAGTGTAGGGACTTAGAGTGAAACATAAGAAAACTTTAAATTTGTTTCGATTAACTAATGATTTTAAAATTACCAAAGTGTTTTTATTAAAAATAAGGTATTGCCATTCTTAAAAAAAAAAAAATAAATAAAGATCCAAAAAACGAAACAAAGAAAACAAACAATCAGTTTTAATTGAATTGTGTATTTATTTATATCTTTTATCCCACAGAGATTATGAGTTTGCTGAATGTGCCCATTTTGTGGCAACAACTGAATGCAATGGATTACATTTTAACCAAATTTATTGAGACTACGCTGGAAGATGAAGGTGTGAAGAAGCTGTTAAGCTCTGGAGAAACATTTGATCTGGTGCTGGCGGAGATGATCCAAATGGAACCTCTGTATGCCCTCGCACAGCATTTTAATGCCACTTTGGTTGGTTTCTCTAGCTATGGAACAGATCGAAAGATTGATGAACATGTTGGCAATATATCGCCCATATCGTATAACCCTTTGGTAACCTCTCCCCGTACCGACAAGATGACCTTCCTAGAACGTTTGGAAAATCACTATGATGCCCTTGTGGAGGATATTCATCGGTATTTTGTTCACCTGCCAAATATGCAGATAGTGTACAAAAAGTATTTCCCTAACGCGAAGAAAACTATGGATGAAGTAATAGACAGCTTTTCGCTGATTTTGCTGGGTCAGCACTTTTCTCTGAGCTACCCTCGACCTTATTTGCCCAACATGATCGAAGTAGGAGGAATGCAAATTTCCCACAAGCCGAAGCCCCTTCCCGAGGACATTAAGCAGTTCATTGAGGGTTCGCCCAATGGCGTCATCTACTTCTCCATGGGATCCAATGTGAAGAGTAAGGATCTGCCCCAGAAAACTCGCGACACGCTGCTGAAAACCTTTGCAAAACTGAAGCAGCGAGTTCTGTGGAAATTCGAAGACGACGATATGCCGGGCAGGCCAGCGAATGTGCTGATCAAGAACTGGTATCCCCAGCCGGACATTTTGGCCCATCCGAATGTGAAGTTGTTCATCACTCACGGTGGCCTGCTGAGCACCATAGAGAGTGTGTACTTTGGCAAGCCCGTGCTGGGATTGCCCTGCTTCTATGATCAGCACATGAATGTGCAGCGCGCCCAGCGAATGGGATTCGGTTTGGGCTTGGATCTGCAGAATCTGAAGCAGGAGGAATTGGAAAAGGTCATCCAAACGCTGCTCACCGATCCCAGTTACGCCCGTGCATCGGCCTCCATTTCGGAGCGGTATCGCGATCAGCCGGAATCAGCCGTCGATCGGGCTGTTTGGTGGACGGAATATGTTATTAGACACAAAGGTGCTCCCCACCTGCGAGCAACCGCCAGAGATCTCAACTTCATTCAACTCCACAGCCTGGACACTTGGGCTGTCCTGCTGGGCGTACCTCTATTGGTTGCCCTTGTCATCCTAAAGGTATCTAGCAAACTGCTGGGGGGCAAGAAGAAACCAGGGTGCCCGCATGCTGATAAGCTAAAGAAACAGTAGAAATCGTTTACTATATGTTTGTTGTTTATAGTCCTAAGTACCTAAATTTCTTATCAGCCTAATCAAGTGATTGTTAAAATTATATTTCTTATTGCTTAGCTGGTGTGTCTTACGTTTTCTGGGTCGAATAGCTGGGGAACACCGTTGCCGGCTGATATTGTTGTTTCCTTTGGCTATCAACATTTCACTAGCTGAGTGTTTTCATTTGATTTCGCCTCTGTTAGCACTCAGCTGGAAACAGGTTTTTGTTTGCACGGTGGGAATATACAGTATGCAACGCTTTGGTTGCCTAATCAAAAAGATAAGAGACCCGTTCCTTTTAATCTTACTCAAGTATTTGTACGACAAATTAATTATTTATGGTTATATATACTAAACTGATTACACCTCGATGTAAAAAAATTTATTTAATGTTTATTGATTCCTAAATGCACCAGTTTATTTTGTAACCTTCCACTTTACTCCTTCACGGTATAAAAAATAATATTGATTTAATATTACTATTTATTTTATAGACTTAACACGTTAATCTAATCTTAACTGACTTTGCCATTATAGGTATGGCTTACAATTTTTTATTATTTTAAAACAACAAACAAAACATATTAAATACTTGTATTTTAACACGAATCTATTTGGACCTGTAAGCAATCTTGAATATCAATATTTCTTCCAGTTAATAGGTAAATTTATATTAATCCGTCACCCAAGTAGTTTATTCATCTGATACTATATACTATTCTACAAAGTTCGTATACGTTTACTTACTTCACAACAGTTTTATTATATATTTCTGTCATGTAAGCATCTACAATTAGTTTCGTTTTGCATACAAATTATACTTCTGTGATTGCAACAGAGAATTAGAAATCAAGAGTGTGGGCTTAGGCAACCCCATGTTAATAAAGAAAGTATAAACATTGTCCCACACAACTTATAGGCCACAGTAATCAAAATGGCATTGAAAATTGTTTTTCTGATATATTATTTTCTCTTTCAATGCTTTATTAACACCCTCTCGTTTCTTGATTAATTGAAAGCCATTAAGTTTCATTTTTTTTTAACTGCAACTCCTCCAATCCCAAGAACTTTGGCCAAAGTACACAAAAATTACCGAGTTAAAAATATCGCATGGAAAAAAACTTTATCTTAATTGCGGGTTACTTTTTTCGACTGGTCTGCCTGCTACCTGGGTGGAATAACAGAGCCGTCTGTGTGGCGGGGCAAAGGGGGCAAAGGGAATCCGGCGGAAAAAGTGAACCCAAATTTGTGTCCGTTGCTAGCACCAGGACACGCCCTAAATCACTGGCTTTTTATCAACTTCAACTTGAAACGAAATTCAAATGTTTCGCTCGTTTTTCTTCGCCTGCAAATGCGACTGAGGCTGACTCGACTCCGGCTGTTGCCCCTAACAACGGGATGGGTGGGCATTGGGGGTTAAATCGGAGTGAAAAAATGCGATTCACATAAGCACTTGGAAAATTATTATTTTTTAAAAATTCTCCAACTAATTAATCACCAAGTATTTCTAGAACTAATCGGTTTTACAAGAAAAATACTTTTTTAACCTTGATGAACTTATTCCCCATTTTAAGTAAGCCATCGAGACTTTTTTAATAGAATATATATTAAATTTTTTAGATTTATTATGATGGTTTTCACAGTAACTTAAACCTCCGATATTTTTTTCCAAGTGCTGCCACACATACGCAAAAAGGAAACCTATCCCAAGCCACTTTGCACTAAGTACTCACACAAAATTCCGTTTGAAGTTTTTGGGTGTCTGTGCCGGTGCTGGTCCCTGTTCTTTCGGCCATGGCCACACCTGTACAGTGGGCACCCTGCTTACGGCACTCACCTCTTCTACACGACTACACGTGCACAGTCAGCGGGCCATCGCTGACCGGCTTGTAAATTGTATCCGTTTCAGGCACATAAATTGTTGTCAACTTCCGTTGGCTGCGACAACGGCGACGCCACTGCCCACTTCTGTGTCCAGTGATTCACCTGCTCCACTCCGCCGGATCCCTTGACTCCAGGAACTCTTTGGCCGAGCCAGTTACACCACCGTATGGCCAGCTTTGACTTGAGAGCATACGCCATATCCATGGCGTTTGTCTGCCTCCCTTTTTTAGAGTCCTTAATTGGGGTATTGTAATTTTATTTTTGCAAATGTAAAGCTATAATATATTTTAACGATTTGTTTTAAAGCTATCATCTAGAACTAAAAAATAGTTAAGCTTTGTTCTTACAAATAATTGTTTTGCAGTCTTAAAGCAGAAACAACCCTAAAATTAAACAAAAGTTTATATTAAGTTTGCGCAGTAATTATATTAGTTTTTATATCTTAGCAGTCAGTATATTTTAATTGCCAGAAAAATGTTGATAAATGTGATTAATCTATTGACTAGAGTATTTTAAACTTCGGCTTACAAAGGATATTCTTCCCGTCATGATTGTTTTTTTTTTGAACGCTAGTTCAGCTTGGGCCAACTTTGGTTGTCCATGTTTTTTGCCTTGCTTTGCCCTCGTTGGGTGTTTTTTGCGCTCTTTGCTGCTACTCGATGCAGCTTCCAACTCCAGCGTAATTGAATTTTTAATCTCGTTTATAGTCAAGTGATCTCTGGCATACACTCCCGGTGTACAACTGCGCATATTTTACGTGCCCGGTGCTTTGGTAGCTGCTTTCAGCTAACTGCCGCCTTGTCCTGTTCCTGATGTTTCGGCTCTTGTTCCCTCGCTGCCTTCGAATAACAGGGGTCAAATACACTGGGCAAATAAAGTTGGGAGTACGCCCGCCTTTTGGGGACACTGCCTCATAATGAGTGCCCGTCGTTATGCTAAATTGTTTGGCCAAAAAATGGCAACTTTTCCGCATAGTTCCCGCCCAACCCTTGTGGGTTAATATGTTCACCGAATTCCATATTCAACTTTTTGGGTAGGGTAGGTATGTAATAAAGTATATCTCAAACAATGCTCATGGTCTGTCTGCGGGCTGAGCCACACAAAAGGACCTCAAACATGTGAGTTATATAATGTCCTCGCAAACTCCGCAAGGCAAATGTTTTAATGGAGTTAGGCGAAAATCTACGTACCCAACAAAACTAAATTCGGTCTTGAGCGGCTTAAACTGGGTGGGTGGGGCAGTGTAGCGAGCTGTTTGCGGTGAAATCATGCCGTGTCAAAGGCGAGTAACGTGTGCATCATTAACTGGCTTACGTGGCGACTGCGGCGTTCAATTAAGCCTTAATTATAAGCACATCCCTTTCGAGTTCCTCGTTGCATATTTTCTGGGGCGACACGGTTTTCTCCTCCCAATTATCGCGTCGCAGTTTCGCGATTTGATTACGCATGATGGCAGATTAAGAGCAAAGATGGGGAATTCAGGCTGCTACTTCTGCAAGAAACTTTGCCTTACACTTGGCAGTTTGAAAATATCGCTTTTAATGATAAATGTGATGCGAAAGTAGTTAAGACTTTTAAAATTAAAGCTGATTTACTGCGCTAGCTGGATTAAGCTTGCTTAATCCTTAAGGCATTCCAATATGAAGTTATAAAAAATAATAAATATAAAAGCAATGAACTTATGTTTATAACAACAGGGCTCGTTAGTCTATCTAATGGGCATTGTAAACATTATTGAGGTCTTGCCATACAGATCGAATTCTCTTGGAATTCTTTAAAAGTGGCACAGACTGACCGGTTTTGGGTCTAAAACAAAGCCAAAATACTGCCGAAATAATTATGCAGGTAGCCATGGCAATAGATGTAGCCGTGCTCAGTCATTAGTAAACACGGTCCGAGCATTAATTAAACAGTAACCGAAGCAGACATAAAGGGTACGGCTGCCATTGTTGGGTGCATCGGATTCCTTTTCATCTTGGCTCTTGGTATGTCACCGTTATTGTTGCAGTTGGTCTATGTTTGATTTTCATTAAAAGCACTCAACCGATTTGCTTATCTTAATTATGAGATTTTGCCATAATATTTGCATTAGATGAGAGCCAATGCAACTGCTAAACACCAACTGCAACTGCATAATGCGGCGATGCATCTCAGCTGCTGAGGTATAGCCACTCGTACCTCGGAGCACTGTAAAAAAGGGAATTGAAAATTAAGGAAATTAGTTAAGCTTTTTATTTTTTTGAAAGGTGCAAAATAAAGTTAATTTTTTTGCTGTGTGTCATAAAAAATAGTGATTTGGTCGTTATAAACTATATTTTTAGGAATATATAAAATTAGTAGTATATTTATTTAAGTATGACTTGCTTGTTTAATAAATCAGCAAACATTTTTATATCCAGTAGTTGGAATCTGTATTTATTTAATTTAAAAAAAAATCTGCTACAGCAACTTGTTAATATTTATTATAAACTTCCAGATCTACACAAAAAAAAGAAATTAGATCATAGAAATCTTGTATAAATTATGTTTGAAATGGTGTTTTTGCCTCCAGTGCATTAGCTTCTCTGATTGTCTTCTTGGCCGATGCAATGTAAATGTTTGTGGCTTTTGCTCGAACTTTGCTGGGCGAACGTTGCGTATACGTAGTTAAGCATATTCAAGCGTAACAATGACCTGACCAAATGGAGTTTCTGCTACGGTCAAGGATTGCCGACACCAGCGCCAACGCCCGGCGTTGTGCTAAATTTTTTAGCTGCAATAATTATACGGCAATTAGCCAAATGTTCAATAATGCAGCACCAGCTTCAGCTTCAGCATCGGTTCCATTTTCCATTCTCCATTTCGCCGTTTTCAGCTGCGCAGCCGTTACAAAATTTTTGACTGCACTCGGGTAAACTTCTAATTGCCATTAGCGCACTTTACTTTTTCCTGCATTGGCTGCTTCGATGGGTGTGTGTTTGTGTGTGTGTGGGTGGATGGTGGTGCTGCGAAAAGTGGTTGGTGGGGTGGAAAAAAAACGCGGGGCTTTAGGGTAGCGGCAGGTGAGCGCGTAATTAGACCGCGCCGTTAGCTGCCGCTTGGCTGGGTGGCTGTCTGTAATTTAGTACTAATGGCGCACTTAAAGTGCAGGCAATTATTGTAGACCTATGCGGACAAGGTGTGCATTTGCTCACAGCTCGCTATTCCCCTCGTT